AACCATTAAATAATTAGTAATCTTCACAGCTAATATTTTATCCTACTGCGGATGGCTTCATTTTGCTTAATGCTCACTAAATATCTCTGATTTCCCCATACTGCTATATGTTATAAAATAATACTCATGACAAGGTAAAAGTTATTGTCTCTTTTAAATTTGATGTCTTGGTGGCATTTGTAGCCCTAGCAATTAAAATAAACTTAACTGACACACGATACTAATCATCATCTTTAATTTTTCTTTCATGTAATAGCTTTTACAGGATGTAATTTTGATTTTGATTGTATTTAAAAAAGAGGTGGAAGGTGCTCATGGCAGAAAAAAGTTGAACCATGTCCATTGAAGTACATGCATGCAATCTAACCTTTAAGCCACCATTTTGTTTCTAATAAATAAAGTTGACATTAATATATGAATAAAGTTGACATGAATATATGAAAAAGTTGGACGATGTTTAAATATTCCTTAATTAATAAAATAAATTCCAATTGGTATTCTAATTAAATTATTAATCACATTATAATGATGGTGGTGCTACAATAATTTCGTAGTGATTGTCCTTTGTGTATTATTAAATTTGACAATGAATAAATGTTCATTTAATAACTCTAGATGTTTTTGTCCATACAAAACTTGAATTTGATGTCATTCAAGAATTATTTGTCATGGATTCTTGAATAATCTATTTTTGAAAATATAAAAAGAGGAAATCAAGTGTTCGTGAAGGACTATACAAAAGTAATGATTTTCATTTGCTACCATATCAATGAGAAATTGAAATTGAATACCTTATGGTGAGAGACCCACTTATTTTGTGGCAAAATTTGAAGGAAAGATACGATCATCTAAAATATCGTTATCCTCCTAAAAGCTCAGTATGAATGAATGTAACTGCAATTACAAGATAATGGTATGGATATATTATTACTCATGAGTATATGTTGACAATATATATATATATATATATCACGCCAAGGGCGTAAATTTATGAAATATTTTATGTGGAGAAAATATTATTGATGGACATATATTGAAAAAGAAATACTCCACTTTTCACGTTGAGGACGTAGATTGATAAAATATTGGAGAAGATATATATTGAACAAGAGATATTCCACTTATCACACCAAGTGCATAGATTTATGAAATATTGCTTATCGCAGAACAAAATAATGATATTTTGTTGAGAAATTATCAGTCATGTCTGATGAGGTCGACAAAGATCAGTCAAACGAATTGTGATATCCCCTAATTTCAGAGACATGGGTTAATCAAGTCAACACTAAAAAATCAGAGGATATCAAAACAATTAAGTATTTAAACAAGCACAAATTACAAAATGAAATAAAAAGAAATAAATAATACACTGAAGGAATATCTATTAAATAATAATTCTATTAATAATAATTCTCCAAAAGGTACAACTCGGGAATCTGTAATTTAAGGAATCTTAAAAACCATAATCCAATAATTCAGTTATTTAAACAATAAAATAAAGTCTAACATCTAATAATGAATGAATATCATACTTAGAAATAAATAGGAAGAGTAGATAAGATCCCAAGCTGCGGATCCTCAGTATTGAGATTTGAAACTGTACACCCACAACTATAGCAAGGGAGAATAGTGAGTAATTACGACATGGTCTCGATCAATTACTAATTGACGCGTAAGAAGAAAAAAAAAAAGTTGAATAAAGTTGATACATTTATGTGTGTCAATTAGTGATTGATTGGACCATCTCGTAATTTCTCAAGAACTATCTTTATTTGTAAAAATCGGTCTAATTCGCTTTTAATGAGTAAATTTAATTGGTGATATTCCGCCTAAGTCATATTAGTGAGTTAATTTGATGGTGTGCAAATGTGATCATACTCCGCGTAAGTCATATTAGTGAGTTAATTTGATGGTGTGTAAATGAAACCGACCTTTATTTGTAAGAAATTAAGCAAAAATAATAACGATGACAGATCAAGGATCCTTCTGCTCTTACCTTTTTAGGGCATGGTACCCAAATGAAACATCAATCATTCAACCAGAGACGGAGCCAGAAAATAAGATGAGGGTCGGGGGGCAATAATGATTTTTTTTAGTAATTTCAGGGTGAGCAATAATAATATTTTTTGGGTGTATAATTGAAAAACTCAAATTAACAAGGGTAAATTAAAATATAAAAATAAAAATCAGGGTGGGTAATTGCCCCCAACGAACTATATGTAGCTCTGTCCTGCATTTAACCTCAAGAAAGCGCCAATTTTTTTTTTTCCTAGTTTTGTATTCATATACCTTCTTCAAAAAATTATTCGCACCTAACAAGAATCGAACTTGAAACCTGATGCAAATGTCATGTTGAAAACTATACAGTACATATGCAACCTTCCATAAATGCAAGTGAATTCTCACTATGGAGTCAAAATCCATTAGTGTGTAAATTGATCTCAGTCATTCATTGCAGTACAACACATGTGCAGTGCCACAAAATAATTAATTTTCTCAAAAATACTAATCAACGAGAAATGATCGAGCTAGTGTTTTCGAATTTCAAACTATATATTTTGGGGTGTGTATATATATATTTATATATAATACACATATTTTATGGGTAAATTTGATAAGATAATGCCCCTAGGGGCTTGGTGATGGTGGTAAGGTAAGGGACTGGATTCTAATATGTCCCGGTTTTGAACCCCAACACCCCTGTTACGATCCCTGATTTAATGGTGCTGTCGTTGTCGAGCCGTTTACAGCACCCTCGATTTGTAGCTTGAGGGTGGGTCCAAAAGGCCCTGCCCAAGGAGTTCCGAGTTCAAAAAAATAAAAAATAATAATAATAATAATGATAAGATAACAAGTATTACATTAAGGTCCCTTTGCACAGCTTTCAGGACAACTTTCACAATAAATCTTAAAGAGTAAAATACCCTAGCAACCCTTGAATGGTATCCAGCTAGAGCCAGTAAGCCCTTTGAGCTATAAAATTAAACAAACCTCACTTATTAACTCTTTTAGCTTTTTCAATAGCAACCTCTCACTTTTTTTTATTTTTTATATTAGCAAGAAACTCACACACTTACTTTGCACCTTTGGAAGTCCAAACCCTTATAATTCATTTTGAAAGGTAAAAGAGATACTACTGGACCACAAGACCCTTAATCGCAACCTCTCACTCAATCAAGCCTAGATGACTATCGTTAATGGAAAACGCCATGTGACCAGCATGTGGCTTTTTAAACACAATTTTGGGACTATTTTGCCCTTAGTGGTCTACTTCTTCTGCTTTACCTCCCTTTCTCCCTATGGAAGGAAAAGAAAAGAATAGCAATGGTAAATTATGTTTGGTATGAAATATTAGAAGGAAAATAAAGAATTTGAAGGGATAAAATAAGGGTTGAATAATTACTTTTGTTATCTTCCCAACAATGGAAGAAAATTGAAGAAAAGGGAAGGAGAAAGTATAGTATTTTAAATAAAATTATATTAATACCAAATTTATCCATATGTTTGTAACAGGACAAAAGCTATGAAAAAGGATATGGTTGTAAATTTATTAAAATAATTTCATTTCTTTTCTTTTCCCAAACATGATTTCTATACTTTCATTTCTTTTCCTACGTTAATCAACCAAATACGATAAGTAATTAACACTATTCTCTTATTTTCTTTCTTTTTTCTTCTAACTAATATTTTTTTTTTATTATTATTTTTTTTAACTGTACCAAACATACGTGCAGTGTATGTGCCCAGTGGTAGGTGAAATGGCTTATCATCTATGTTCAATTAAAACCATATCAAGTCAGGGAAAAAATAAAACCATATCAACACCTCACACTGCCACCATACCTCACAAAGAAACACCTCCGCCATATTTTATGTTGTACATGAATTTTTTTAATAATTACATTGTACATGTGGGATGGGAGATTACATCTGCCCGATAGTGAATTATAGAGTGTTCTAAGAGACCTGACATCACTATCGACAATATATATATATATATATAATGATCTGGCTAGTGAACAAAAAATTCATCTCACTTTGTATAGTGATTGTTGGATGTAAAAAGGTAGTTACCATAAAAATATAATGATCATATTCAAATGTCACTGTGCATAGTTTGTGGATGAATTTCTTGCTATCCGGTGAGCAAGATACTGTACGTGGATTAAATTTTTTTCTTTTAAGAAATTCAAATTTAAAATGGGAATTTCAACAATTTTATTAACAATAGTCTTTTTAAAAAACGTTAAACTGATAGTCCCACTTTATTTTAAGTTTCAAAAAAATCTTTTATTTTATTTAACATTGACAGAGCCCAATCAAGAGGATCGTCCCACTTTGTATTGGGTAACCTGATTCAGAAACTAGTCGTTGTGCAACGGGTATTTGTATTACTCGATTGGGCTGTGTCTTCAAATGAGCTAGACTCATTCAGTCTTTTTTAGGTTGGGCCTAGCTGCTCACTCCCAATACATATAACAAAAAATAATTATATTAATCCATGTCACTCCCCATGTGGCTTGGTTCCTGCCTTGTTTTTCATCCAAAACCTTTATTTAAGATTAAAAATAAAAATAAATAAAAAATAAATAATTAGTTGATTGATTTTGTGGTCAATGAGGGCTGTTTGGATTGTAATCCATCATCATAAGATTAAAAAGTGTGACATAATATCATCTCATTTCGGTAAAAAATATTGAATTAGATAACTGAAACGTAAATGTTATCATATGATATTATGTAGTGAGGTCCACAATCTTATTCATAGATGTTCGTCCAAAGATGTACCATTGCTCTTCCAATAATCTTAGTTCACCTTTCGTTCTCTTAAATACATTTTTAATCACCGGGTTAAGATAAACAAAGACCATCTATCTTGGAAAAAGTTAACTGGTTTTCTCTCTCTCTTTTTTTTTTTATTCAAATAAAGAAATTAAAAAAATATATATTCTGTCCCCTCTCTGTATCATCTCTCCCAGAAAGTCAAAGTCCGCCAACAATCCTTTGCTCTAGCCATCTAAAGCAGGCAGCAACTGAGAAAGTCAAAATTTCACCATTCACAATTCTTATTTTTTTCTTCTCTAAATACCCTTTTGGCCTTCAATTTGTTTTTGAGTTTCATGAGTACGTGATGTTATGTATATAAGTTATCATAGAGTTAAAAGAAGACTGATTTTCAACAGATGGGTAGATTTAGAATGTAATCAACAATAGATTGTGATTCTCAACCAAAAAAAAAATGGCAACAACAACAAATCTATTCAGCTTTTGCTCTCTGCTAATGGCTTCTCTCTTTGCTCTCTCTGCATCACTTCAATTTAATGACCCAGGTACCATACTCCAAATTTCCTCATCTTTTTTACTTGTTCTAATGTCAGTCAGTACCTAAAAATTCTCAAATATTTCTTTTCTTCTTCTTCTTTGTGTGTGTTTTTGTGTGTTTGTGTGTGTGTGTGTGTTAGATTGGTACTTCTGGTTTCCTCTATATGCCACAGCTTGTGTAGTCAATCTGGCCAATTGGATCTCCAACAAGAAGATAATCAGATCAAATGCCAAATTTTCACTTTGGCTTGGAGTGTTCTTGTTTTTGAAGGTTGTAATTGAAGATTTTGTGTATGGAATAGCTGGATTTTGGTCATTAGATATGAGGGAGAGAGTGGTCAGAGAAAAATTTGGAAGTAGATTTGTTGTCTGTTCCATGTTTCTGCAATTGGAAGCATTATCAATCCCAAATGATCCCACAAGAGGAAGAAAAGTTTATGTTGCAAAACATGTTCAATATGGTATGACAACACTAAACACTATTTTTTTTTTTTTTAATTTCTTTATGTTCACTATATTTATGTGTATATATGTTGTGATTTAAATTTAATTCTTTTTTTAAATTGGTTGGTAATTTTGAACAGGAATGGCAGTCTTGGTGGGTTTTAGTTATGGGGTCTCCTTTCTCTTCTTTGTGTTTCAAAAAGAGAAATGAAGCTCTGATTAAAAAAAGAGGTACATGGTCTTCAATTTGGTGGTGTTACGTACAATGAGAATAATGTGAAGACTGAAGAGAAATCATCTTTTCACAATAATACCGAGATTTTACATGGTTCAATATGATTGTCTATGTTCGATCACACTTAATTATTGTCTTTTTTAGACAAAAGGGTACGTATGCCACTACGACAAACTAGTGCAACTAACAGCAAAATAAATAAATGGTATCCAAGGGTATAGTGCAGTGATTCGGGAAGTAAGTTTTTGAAGATTCATTTTCGAATCGCACTTGTAACTTGAATGCTATATGAACCATAATGCCCTTAGTTTACAAACCCAACACCCTGTAGGGATTCGGGAAGTAAGTTTTTAAAGATTCGTTTTCGAATCGCACTCGTAACTTGAATGCTATATGAACTATAATGTCCTTAGTTTACAAACCCAACACCCTGCTTGGATGGTTTTCTACTTTTGAACTTTTGCTTCCCCAACTTCTCTCACCATGTTTTGAGATATCAATTTCATGCTGTGAGATGGTATTGGATGAGTTCTAAAAATCTGCGTTGCTTTGTTTCGCGGCATCGAATTCGCACTTCAAGAAAATTTACTACTCCCTCTGTCCCATAATGCATGTCCCCGGGGAATTTAACTTTTTATAGTAGTAGAGTTTTAATGGTTTTTTATTATATTGATAAGAGTGATGTTTCAAATATGCCCTTACTAAAAGACAAAATAGTGTTCCGTAATTAGCGCAGTTGTTAAGTTAAAAGGAGAGTTTGGGAATGTTATAAAAAATAGTATATTTAATTTTGGAATATGACATGTTTTTTGGGACATTCCAAAATAGAAAGATAAACAAGTATTTTGGGACAGTGGGAGTACAAATTTTGAACTAAACTTCCCCCAATTCCAAATTCAAGACACCGATTCGGTGTTTTCAAACACAACACATATTAAATTCGATTTCAAATTTATCAGACAATTAATTGAAAATTTCTTTTGTTATTAGCGAAATCACTAGTTTTAGATTTTTTGCCTCATAGGAAGATTAAACTTTATCTTTATTGTTCAACCTTATTTTCCTAGCTAATGAAGGGAAAAAATTTGATATATCTCATTGAGTTGAAAAAAAATAATTTAATTTTGATTGGCACTTTTTTTTTTTCCTTGTGTGTTTAGTGGGAGATGTATATATATAATCAGAAAACAATGTACAAAAGGCAGGGCTATACACTGCGGGAACACAGCCCAAAGGCCAACAAAAAAAGGCCCAAAAGCAAGAGCCCAAGCCAACTAACCAACAAAAATAAAAGTGGGCCCATTACCCTTGAGTTGAACCCAAAAGTGGGCTTGGCTTTAAAGGCATTGTTGCTGTTTCTCTGTATCGCCAGGTTGATAAGCAACAAACTCAATTTCTTACCAAAGGGACTCTAGTCCAATGGTAAAAATTTACAACCTCTCCATCCTCAAAGAGAAAGGAAGAGGTTCTCGTCTATGAGAAAAATTATTCATTACAATGTTAATGTGGTGTAACGGACGGTTACAAATACTCCACTAAAATAAATTTATCAAATTTTTTTGTTGTATTATAAGTCCACTTTGCTTTGGTGGAGTGTTTGTAATCGTCCATTACACCGTGTCAGCATTGTAACGAATAATTTCTCCCAGTCCAAAACAAAAAAATGTGTGAATTCTTACTTGATAAATAATAATAATAAAAAAAAAATAAAAAGTCTCAATTTCTTAGGATACAAGATAAACAAATAAAAACAAAAAGTTTTTGCATCGCAAAAATTAATATCGCCTATCAAGTTGCTATTACCGAGACCAAAGGTTGCAGTTTAGTAGTACTTTTTTCATATTTCAAGGTAGAAAGTTCAGAGTTCAATTTTTCGTATGGACATGTGGGTGTGTATTTTATTTATTTATTTATTTTTGCTAGAATTTATAAAGAAAAAAAAATTGGGGGAACAAATTGTTGATATATATATATTTTTGGTCAACAGTGATGGTGTGGGCCTCTTAGACCTTTTAGACCATTTCATAATCCTCCATCGGGGCATGCCGTCCTCTCCTTTCACATGTCCCAAGCAATTAGTAGAGAATTTTCCGACAGTAACAAGTTGTGAGGTGAAATTGCTAATATGAGGAGAGGGAGAAAAAGAGGGAAAAATTGAAACATTATTAATTTTTAATGGGTCCATTCAGTCTATTAATTTTTGTATTGTATTACATTCCATCATGAGCCTAAAATCATTTTAATCAAGTTGTAGGGAGTAGGGACACATTTTATTTGAGTATTTGAAACTATGATTTCCCATTCTTGGTTAGAAACTGAATTTACCACTAAAGTTGATCAATAAGATTATTTTATGTGATAGTACTCAATTTCCAAAATCTGCATACTAATCAAATTCAACACGAAATAAGTGGTTCTAGAATTTGGGGTTGAGTAATATGGTAACTATTTAACATAAGCAATAAACATATGGTATTTATTGACACCTAAAAAATTGACACTCTCCAATTAATATGATACGAACCCAACACAAATTGCCAGCCTCCGATAGAGAGTGGTTTTGCCAAATGAGGAAGTGGTTAGCTGGCATGAACATGAATCCTAGTGGCATTGATTAGTTTCATACATGGCAGCAAAGTGTTAAAATCTTATTTGAGACACTCAAATTGCAGATGCACCTACTCCCGATTGCGATGACACATAGTGAGGGTGAGTCGAACCCTAATTCTCTTATGTATATGTTGCACTAATAATTTACACACGGTACAGGTAGGGAAAAAAATTTCAGGGGTACATTATAAGTATGCCATAACATATATTTATAATATAATGTACATATATGTATATATAGAAAAAGATAATGATATTTTTGAAATTAAATTAATTTACAGATATAGAATATAAGTATTAAGGAAATAATTTAGGAAAAAAAAATATAAAAACATTTATAAAATTGGTGCCCTAGTCCTCAACTGTATCCGTACTTAAGTACAAGATCGAGACTGAGGATCGTCGCCTCCTGTAGAGGGATCCGGTTTAGAGAGAGACATGGGAGGGAGAGATGGCTTTTTGCAAACCATATATAATTGGCATTGACTCACTTGTCCAAATGCCTTTGGAAAGTTCTCTTTTTCTGTCTAAAAGTGGGATTCCAAATTTCCACACCTTTTGAAAACTTGCAACTTCCCTCTCATTCTCTCTTTTCTCATACGCACATTTCTACAGATTTTGGGTTTCCCAAGTCGAGGCAAACCTCAGAACTCATTCGTGTGATGTGTATCAGCACTGCAGCAATAGCTGATCGAGAATGAAAAGATTCTGATTTATAATAAACAACAAATTAATAGTTGTAAATGTTCATCTCACTAATAAACACAACTGAATTCGCTTTTAGGAGCATAGCGACGTTGGCAGGAATCCGAGAGATAAGTATTTAAAGTCTTACTTTTGAATCGTACTCCTAACTTGAATGGTGCCTATGTTATAGAGTCGATATTCATGCTCTAAAGCTAACAAAAAAAAAAAAAAAAACACACACACACACACACAACTGAATCCTAGTTAAGAAACAATTAATATTTCTTGTCATCCTATTGATGTGTTACATGAATGTAAAGAAAATAAAATAATTTTATTTATGTAAAAATGATATAATTGATTAATGACGCATATAACGAAATATTAAAAGTGTAGGAAAGTCTTTCTCGATAAAGAGACAAATACTACTAATAAAATATTAATTGATATACAACTCAATTATTCATAAGACTTCAAAGCATGTCGTTTAGTCTCATTTGAAAACCAATGCCACACTAGCTCCAAAATGATATTGTTACATAAATTTATAGCATCTTTAGACTGACTTCTCATCTCCTGGCTCATACAAATTTGTAGTAATAAGATAAAATAGAAGTTTTTGCTTGTTTAGTTGGAACACAACTTTCTACCTCTAGATGAGGGGGCTTAAATTGTTTCACAATCCCCTAAAACCCAAAATAAAATTTACATAGATAAAATAATATCCTATGTATATAGTTGATGCTACTAAAGTCTATAACCTAGTTAATTGCAGTTGGAGCTATGATTCTTTTTCAGAAAAGTGAAGGCTATTATATTACCATTTTGCCACATACATGATGACGAAAAGTTGCGGTTGTCAATTACTTAATGAATAAATGCCCCATTTTCTAATTTCATTTCAGCGACAACTATTCCCACTCTTAGGTTCGGTTTAGATACATAAAAGAAGAAAAATGATATCATTAGTTATGAAAAAAAATGAAAGAAAATGATATCATTAATGTTAAGAGAAAAGAAAATGAAAAAATAGTAATAATCTCCATTCAAGTTTGGATAACTAAAAGAGAAAAAAAATAAAATGATAATATTCTTATTTATATAAAATAAAGAAAAGAAAAAAAAATAATAACTAAATTATTATTATATTCTTTTAATTAAATTGGACATAAGTGCAATAATAATTTTCTCATTTTAATTCTTAAGAATAATTTTAAAATTATAAAAATATTACTTAACTATGGCTCCAAATTTCTTGGTGTCGTTTCTTTTTTCTCTTTTCTTTTCCTATCAAACGGACCAAACGAAGTCTTACAGTTTGTATTACTTTATATAACTTTTAGGATAAGAACTTCATAAAACACTTTTTTATAGTGAACTTTTGTTCTTCTCTGCATTCTCCAATATAAAAAAGCCTTTTTCATTAAAGAAATATTCCCTCTCTCACACACACAAACACTTCACATGTAGATTTAATAATTATTATTACATACATAACGACAAAAAAGACAGACCTGAGGTTGAGGATATATTTTTTTTTCTTTCTAAAAGGTCAGGACCCATGCTGTTAATTTATTAGTGGATTCTGTGACAAAGGTTAGTCTCTTTGACAGTCGAGGACAATGTGGGTATCTCCTAATCTCTCAAAGCCAAATGCAAGATTAGACAACAGGAACCCCACAAAACCTCATTCCCTTTTAAGCATCCAATGTACCCTTTTTAGCCCCCACCTTTTTATGCCTTTTGAGGTAAACTGTTTGCATTTGGATTAACTCACTTGGAGGAATTTAGAGGCTTAGTGGAACTTAATTTGGTGAATTTATGTCATGATACAACCAAAAACAATCATATTTTGCTTGGAAATTTTAAAAAGGAGAGAGAGAGAGAATTATTTTCTACCAATTGATAAGTGGTCTAATGGTATCAGGTTCCTACTTCTCAAAGGAAGGTCAAAAATTCAAGCCTCCATAGAGACATGAAAAAAAAAAAAAAAACAAAAAAAAGAAGAATTATTTTCATTTAGTTTTTCTCCCTGTTTTTTTTTCTTTCTTTTCATAAACAAGTTAGTCCTTGAGATTCTTGCTTTAATGAGGCAAATATACCCATTGAAATGGTATGTATTATTAAGTATTTTAATAAATATATCTTAATTTTTCAATTGAGTTTGGTTCGAATGCGATTTGTTGATTGAATGTGAGACGTGAAGAATGCGAATAAGAGTTCAGTGGAAATTCAGACTATATCGACTTAAGTATTTTTTTTCGGTTTCGTGTTAGTCAAGTTCAAAGAATGGCAACAAGATTGTTCATGCTGTTACGAAGTTTTTCAAAAATCATATTTCCTCTAACATCGTGTCGGATTATAATTTACTGCGTGTTGGATTATAATTTGTTGTATTAGATGGGTCACTTGAGATCTTATTGTTTATACTCCTTCCGTCCTAAATTAATAAGTGTCTTCATTAGTAATTATGACTCATATTTTTGTGAGTTACAATTACCAATGAGGACATTTAATTTGAAACGAAAGGAATATTATTTTACACAAAGTAATTACTCTAAATATTTTTCACTAGACAATAACTACTAACTACTACATAATTTTATCAATATAATTGTTATATATATATATATATCTCTCTCTCTCACACACGCGCGTGTGAATGCAAAATATCCGAGTCCTATGGACCAGATTGAACCAAATGGAACTGTTATAGGAATATTATATATTATTATAAAATAACAGTATATATTTGATTTTTCTAAACCTTAGGCTATTTGGTTACATTGATTTCAAGATTGAATTGGATTTCAATTAAATTTTACAATTTAATTTCAAAATACTTCTAAAACCAATGTCAATAACTATTGGTCAACCGTTCAGATTGTATAGTTGGTAATTTGGTATATTTGCAGGGTTTGTATTTAGGGATATTGGGTCGAATGCGCATTAGGCATAGATGGTGTAACAGGTTACAGGTATAGGAGGACAAAAGTGGAGGAATGTCACCAACCCCCACTTACTCCCCAACAAGAGACGAGAGTGTGGGGAATGGGCTGTTTGTGTAGGATTAGTGTATGTCATTACCATTGCCAACCCTCACAGCCACTTTGTATCTTCCTCTTATTTCCCCATTTAGGTCTCTCCTCTGGCTTTGGTGGACTAATTTAATATACTTCTGGATACTGACTGACATTTTAGGTATATTAAGAGCTTCACCAAACCAAAACTCTAAAACCCTTAACTGGTTTGCGTTTTTTCAGTGCCAAAACCCAGCAAATTTAGGGAGTCCCTTCACTTGGAGGACACAATACTCAAAAGGGTCATCTTCTTCTCAGCCATATTTGTGTATCCATTGCAAGTTTTTTTTATTTTTTTATTTTTTTTTATGTCTGGTTCTGATATGTTATGACACTGTTCAATGCAAGAAGACGAGTGTGGTTTTTGAGTCTTGGTTGAGGTTTCTGAGGACCCATCTGGTCATTTGGACTGGTGGGTCTGGTTCATCTTCCAAAAATCTCATCTGGGTAATCCATTGTTTGCTCAATTAGTGTGATGGTAAAGTGGTATGTGCTCTATTTTGTCTATTTTCTTACTTTTTAAAATTATTGAATGGCAAATTTTACTGATAGCAAATTTTGGGCAATTTTCCCCCCTTAAATATGGGGTTTGAAGGGTTTGGCAATAGCAAAATGCCTGGAGTGGAATTGACTTCTAGACTCGAGTGTTCTAAGAGGTAATAGTTTCTGGGATTTTAAGTTGATGGTTTTTATTTATTTATTTATTTATTTTGGTAAATGAAGTTGATGGGTTTCTTTAACTGTTAGTATATGTTTATGTATTTTTTATTTTTACCTTTCTAGTTTTCATTGATTGCAATGGAAGAAAATCTTCATCGTTTGGTAACGATACGGAAAGGGGAAAAACTTGGAGTTCTTTAGAATTGTGTGATCTCTTAATTATGGGTTTTTAGGAATGAAGTCTTGTGTGTTTTCTGCTTAAATATTACAATTTTGTTCTTCCTCAACCAATATCTTATGGTAACAGTAGTATTTAGTAATTAATCATGTAATAATTCTTAATGATTGTGATTAAGACGGTTTTTGAGATGGGTTGTATTGAATTAATCACACTATGAAGTCTCACTTGAGATATGTTGATTCTCTTTCATATTGATGTTTCAATGATAGCTTCCCTGATAGACAAGAACTTGAGGAAGATAGCTCAGACCATTCGATCGAAGCTTCTCGCCATTTAAAGTTGGTTAGACTCTCTCCCTGCCCCCTTTTTTTGGTAATTTTTAGAGTTCTTTATCATATACTGGAATAAAACTTGCAATGTAGCCAAAAGAAAAATAAGGAAAAAAAAGAAGAAGAAGAAGAGTTTGAAATTCTACCTGCGGTTGTTTTATTTTTGAATTATTCTTTGGGGAACATTGCTATGATGATTTCTCTCTCTCTTTTTTTTTTTTTTTTTTTTTGGGCCTTTTTTCTTGATTATCCATGTCACTATTGTCAATATAAGTTTTATCATGTTGAACTCTCAAACCAATGAATAATCCTCTAAGGGATGATTTTTACAAGTACTTCCCTAGTTTTAAATTTTTTTTGTATGATTTTTCATCAGGATACGGGGCACTTGAATGATTGCGTCAATACCAAGAAGAATGAGTCTCCCAATGCTGAAGTTCAAAGTGCTTTGAGGCAAGAGGTATGCACAGATTAGAGGTCACTAAAACTTCCAAATATTTGAAGCAAAAGTACAGAACTAAGCATGCATCTATATCTCCAGAATCTTTATAAAAAAAAGGTTCAGCAACTTAAAATTTTCTTGCCCATGACTAGGAGTAGGTTGCATCTTGTATCTGCGAACCAGCTTTTTTGTTATATATTAAAACATTTGTTTTATTTTTATGCAGATTCTACAACTTGAGAAGAGATTACAGGACCAAGTTGGTGTCCGCCATGCTTTAGAAAAAGCACTGGGTTTTAGGTCTTCCTCTCATGACATAACAGATGAAATTTCAATGCCTAAGGTAGCTTCTTCTTATTCCATTTTATGGAAATGGATGAGTGTTTTTCTATTTTCTGTAATTGTCTATTTTGCATGTATTTGTTTGTGGAGTAGCTGAATAGCTTATGGCATTATCATCAACATCAATTCATTTCTTATATTGTAGTACAAACAACTTTTTTTCCTTTTAAGTTTAAAACTATTACTTAATTTGCTGATCTGGTGGGGTATATGTGTTTTTTGCCATGATTAATGTGTTTGACGATCTATTCTTGTCTCACACCGTCAATGTTTATGTAAAAAAAATTAATTGTAGACTTTGGGTTGATTTTTTATTTTTTTGGCTTTATTAATATAATTTCTTTGCGGTTGCATTGAAACGATTTCTTAACTCCAGCCGACTACCGAACTGATCAAAGAAATTGCAGTACTGGAGTTGGAAGTTGTACATTTGGAACAATATCTTCTCTCTCTGTACCGGAAAACATTTGATCAACAAGTGTCATCCATAACACCATGTACGAAGGACGAAAGATCAAAATCACCGCTAAATACCACAAGAGGAAGGCACCTAGAAGTTTCCAACTCTGATGTGACATTAAAGAGGGAGAATTCCACAGTTAATGCTAGCTATCAGTCACTTTCTAATTCCTGGAACAAATATAATAATATAGGAGCAGAAAAGAATCTATTAGATTCCTTTGCTCACCGCTGTCACTCATCACTAGCACAAAGTTCAGCTCTAGCAACTAGAAGTTCTCCAGCGGAGCCTCTGGGTAAAGCTGTTCGTGCCTGTCATTCCCAACCTGCGTCCATGATGGAGGTAACTTAAATTTCAACACATAATTCTGTAATTGTCTTCATATGAGGTTTGACTCCCCTACAGTTGCCTATTACTGCTTGTCACATCACAGAGTTTGGGATGTTATATAAAAAATTTGTTTTGTCTGTTTATTAATTTGTTGATATTTAGCAGAGAAAGGGTGGGTACCATAAAGATTTTGATAAAGTGATGACACTGTGTCTCTATAATGTGAGCTGTGTCATAGCTTTTCGGCTTGCAATTACAAATGACCATAGGACAACTGATTATAGAAGAAATTAATCCTTTTAAACAATATATATATATATATGAAAAGTCAGATGACTTCAACTGGTTATGACTTTGTATGGCTTCTCTACAGTATGCTCAGAACGCTTCTGCAAATGTAGTGAGTCTGGCAGAGCATCTTGGTGCCCGCGTTGCTGATCATGTTCCAGAGACTCCTAACAAGCTTTCTGAGGATATGATCAAGTGCATGTCAGCTATATATTGCAAGCTTGCTGACCCCCCTTTGACCAATCATGGCCTATCATCTCCCACTTCATCTTCATCACCATTGAGCACAATTTCTCCAAAAGAACATTGCGATATGTGGAGTCCAGGGTTTATGAAATCATTTGATGTACGGTTAGATAATCCCTTCCATGTGGAAGGATTGAAGGAATACAGCGGACCTTACAGTGCAATGGTTGAAGTGCCATGTATATACAGAGACAATAAGAGATTGGGTGACATTGAACAAATGTTACAAAATTTTAGGTGAGTCTTTGTGGCATTTTATTATTTAAAGGATATCATGATGTAGGTATCGTGTAGCATGGTAAACTTATTTTCTGATATACGGTCTCTTGCTGTTTTCTTCACTCATTATCTAATTTATAGGTCACTTATCTGTCGATTGGAAGAAGTAGATCCCAGGAAGATGAAACATGAGGAGAAGCTAGCATTTTGGATTAACGTACACAATGCATTGGTGATGCATGTAATGAATCTTATCGATTTAAATGTTGAATTTACAGTGTCATCTCCTCTCTAAGTTTCCTTTCTGCTCTGAATGGATGAATAACTCTCTTGGTTCTAAACAGGCATTTTTGGCTTATGGAATTCCACAAAACAACGTAAAGAGAGTCTTTCTACTCTTGAAAGTAAGAAGAGTGTCATTAGTTTCTCTTTAAGGGAAAATTGATTCGGATTTTTATTTCTAACGCCTTATTTGATCCAGGCTGCCTATGATGTTGGGGGTCACATTATAAGTGCAAACATGATACGAAGTTCCGTCCTTGGTTGCCGCATATCTCATCTTGGAAAGGTAGGTCCATCCAATGGATATATTTCAAAGATTTTTGCCTCTTCTGTAGTAATTTGAGATAAGTTCCCATATAACTGTAGTCATTTATGTCCTATTTTATGTTATTTTCGTGCATGTGGTTGAAATATGTGATGTGATTTTAGGCCTAAAATTGTTTTTTCTTCATTAAAAGCTTTCTGGTACACAGATGGGCTTCCTTATTGCATCAAGATATTCTTTTTCTTTTCAAAGATCTGGGTCACATTGCAAGCCGGTTTCTACTCGAATCACCAAGGTTTTTTGACCCATTTTTGTCTTCTGGGGTTGGATCCGGTTTCTAGTCTCTATTGTAATCCAGTATATATGGGTGCTAGGATTTTGCATTGTTTATTGAGATTTCTGAAAATCCAAAACTGAGAGAGAGTGAGAGACGGGGGGTGTACTAGGATTAGGATTTGAGAGACTTTTGAATCACCTTTCTTCTTCGCATGGTGAAGTTCCTTTGTCGATTTTCACCGTGAACGTGGGCTATAAACCAAACCACGTTAAATCTGTGTTCTGTTATTGCTCAATTGTTCTTGTGCTTTGCCGTGGTTTGACTCAACAAATAATAATAATAATAATAGTAGGACTCAAAGAAAAGATAAAGACCTTCTGAATCATTTGAAATTATAATTGTGCTACAGGATTGTTTGTATCATCATAATATTTCTTGATCAAAAAATATTTGTCATACAACAAATCACATTTCTGTGTCAGTTAATATATTTACCCTGGTAGCTTCAATTAACTTCATGTTTGTTTTGTGCCTGATAAAATGTTTGTTTTGTGCCTGAATGTAGTGGCTTCGCTTGTTACTCTCCTCTAAGACAAAACTCAAGACCGGAGATGAGCAGCAAGCATATGCAATTGATCATCAAGAACCCCTTTTATACTTTGCACTTTGTTCAGGAAGCCATTCTGATCCGGCGGTACTTCTTTATCCATTTTCTGTTAATTTTCGTTTTTTGTATTTCCCACTATTCCCACTCCTTTTAATGTTGGACTATCATTTTATTTCACTTAGAGAATAGTTGAATTGGCAAAGTTGATTAAATAAACTAATCAGTCATCTTGTGTAATTAATATTCACTGAAGCTTAAATTCACTTTTATCTATGTCAATACTCTATTCTTCCTTGTAGAGTTTAGAGGCCCTATTAGCCTCGTGCTGTTTTCTGAGGGACGTGTTCCCCATTTGAACGCTTTTATTGAATTTTTTACTTATAATAAAAAATAAAAATAAAAACTCTATTATTCCTTAATGCCTGCATTATGCTTCTTTTTGCCACAATAATTATCCCTTGGCTGCTTGACAATGTTCTATGGAGATTAATTTTCAAACTTCTAAAATTAATTTTTATGTATTCTTAGAAGGATTTTTGAAGAGCAAAACATATAATTTAAAAACCCTAATGTGTGGAATGCATACGAATCATGAACCACAATTTGGTGAGAGCATAGTTTAGAGTTGCAATAACCTTTTTGTCCTCGCTTGATGCTTTGAATTTCATTTTTGCCCTTGGATATAGATGACTCAACTAACTAGTCTAACATTTGAAAACTAATCAAAAGGTAAAACAAAATTATAGACTCCAAGTTCTAAATGAAATTAGCTAATTAAGTCTTATTGACCTAACAAACAATATCTGACTAAACCTAGGTAGGAGTGACGGAGGACATAATCTGGCAAGTGAAAAAAAACAGTTCATCGAGTACAAAGTGCTTCTTGTCCAAAAACGATATTTTTTTCACAAAAAAGTTAAGAGGATGTCTTCAGTATTTATTTCTTCTTACTTAAATATTTACATGATATGATTGAACATTTCTTACGAATCGAAAATATTAGACAATCAATATTTGCCACGTGATGGGGTTAGGATGAGGTTCCTTCAACCAGGGCTGCAACTGTGCGAACATACAAATCATAAAGGCCGTGTTAAAAGATTGCAGAGGCTTGCTCTCTGCTTGCAGGCGAAACTCTTCCGTTGGAGGTTATAACGATAGATTGAACTGGCTAAAACTCTTGTAGTGAAAAGGAGTTGATCTCTGCAGCTAAATTAGACATTGTAGGAGTGGTCAACCGAAATGATAATAAATCTCATTGTGTTTAAAAGAGCTTGGCAGACCTCTCTGTACTTGTCCAAAGAGGTACTAGTTTTGACTTCTGAGGAAGTTTGTTAATACAATAGGGTAGAAATGCCTTGTCTGTTGCAGTCGGAAAATCTCACATCAACTTTCTGGTTTGCCTTTGATTGCCCTCAAGTTTTCTGGAGGTGGAGAGTAGGGGTTGTAACGATATATTTCTTGGCGAACACGTGTCCTTCTGGCTCAGTTATATGAAAAAGCTGAAGTTGAATAAATATAATTGAAGGATTGGTGAAAATAAATTCATGGTGTAGATACATTTGTCTTCTAGATACTTTTTATCTGATCCAAGGAATGTTGTGTTTCCTGTTTCATTTTCAGGTTCGTGTTTACACTCCAAAGAGAGTATTTCAAGAACTGGAGGCTGCAAAGGAAGAATACATCCGGGCTACCTTTGGGATTCGAAATAACCAGAAAATCCTTCTACCAAAGATTGTAGAGTCCTTTGCAAAGGATTCAGATTTGTGTCCAACTGGTTTGATGGAGATGATCGAACAGTGTTTGCCTGAATCTACAAAAAAATGTATTAAGAAATGTCGGCTAGGGAAGTCTCGGAAGATCATCGAATGGACTCCTCATAATTTTGCTTTTCGGTATCTTATTTCGAAAGAGCTGGTAAAGTGAGCTCACACGCGTGGTTCTTTCTATATTTTTATTATAGATGATGATTTGGAGTCCGGAAGTCCGACTGCTTTATGTGAGTAGGGACTGATGTCATCATGATATTATGTATATTCTTGATGTCATGATGACATCAACCTCTACTCGCATAGAATTAGTCAGATTTGTCCGACTGTCAGATTTCTTATCATTACTTTTTTTTATTATTTTTCTTTTGTACAGATGCAATAGATTATGGAGCCAGACAATGGAGGATAGTTTTGGCCTACTCCTTTTTGTTGAGTGTAATCCCATTTTTCTTGTCAGGCAATCTGTAGTTACCTTTGATCCTGTTCTGTCTTGGAAGTAATATGCACTTTTTGTGTAAATATTTAGGGCTTATTTGGTTTAGTTTTCAGAGAATTGTGCAGACCTAACTTTTTTAAATGAGTTTCGAAAAAACAGTCAAAAGAGAAAAAATGTGACATGACGAAAATGTACTAGCTTTAGTATACCATTGGACATAACCACCAATTTGTTATCTATCTATATATATATATATATAAAGAACACCTAGAATGTGACACCAATTTGTTAACTTTGTGCAAACATTTATACTTTAATTTCTATACATATTTACAGAAGATTATCTACACGCATGTACACTTTCGTGTTCATATTCTATTTGCCAATATCAGTATCTTATTGTAATCCTCGTACATATTATTAAAATAAATAAATAAATAAAGATTAAAAAAAAAAAATCATATCGAAATCCGTACCCTTTAAATGAGATCTTGGGCACCTAATTTTTTTTTTTGTTGAGAGTAAAAAATAATAAAAAAAAAATGTCAAGACTCGAAATGCACCAGAAATTTTAGTACCAACAATGAGTGTTTACAACTGAAACTCTAACACGGGAAACCTCACAATTTGGCTGCCTCTCAAAATCACAAAATTCTAAACATGAAAAAATAAGGGAACTTAAATACGAAGGATATAATTCTAAGTTACATAAAGCGAAAGCGAAAGCGAATTCAAGGGGGGAAGCGTGAGAGCGGCAAAATTATGTCATAAATAGTAAAAATTTAAGCGAGAGGGCGTGCAGAGTGTGAAAGCGGAAGCGCACTCAGAATTTGAGAATAATACCCGTTGAGAAAAATTGTGTGACTTAGACGTCATTCTAAACACGAAAAAATAAGAAAACTTAAATATATAGGACATCCAAGAATATAAAAGACAATAAACGGACTTGTGATTCACGTTCCACAATCTCTACATTTTGTACCTAAAGCCCTCAAGTTAAGTTGTCAAATTGACCACTTAAACATGGCCCAATCCAGATTTTGAGATGGGACTTATGCAACTCCCCACAGTTAAAGTCAAATCATCCTGGCCCAATATATATATATATATATGCTTCATGTATTATTTTAAAATAAAAAAGTATTGTGCAAAATGAATAAATATCTTCTTTAATTTATTGATACTTTAGTTGTCAAATGATGTTATGTGAAGGTCTTTTTTTATTGCGCAAAATGAATAAATATCTTCTTTAATTTATTGATACCTTTAGTTGTGAAATGATGTTATGAGAAGATCTTTTAAGAAAATTAAAGCATCAATAAAGTGATGTGTGGTTTTATATAGAAATTAAATTGGGATTAGTGTGTTGATGTGATTCCAACTTTTAGGTACAAAAAGTAGAAGCACCGCCAATAATATGGACGTTGAATTAAGAACCTAATGTTCTCCAACCAAATGCCATTGCACTTTATTGGACCAAGTTCAATGCAACTTCATTAAAAATTCCGATGGACTAGACAAATTACCAAATTTGGATTAAGCAATAAAGATATTTAAATGGACCCCACATTGCCAATAACAATGTTTACTGCATGTTAATGTATTTTCATAAAAGCAAAAGCCCACATTGCACTAAATTATCAAAAAAAAATTGCTTAATAGTCTTAGGTTATATTTGGTCGGTATGAAATTATAATTTTGGAATTAAAATTAGTGAAATTGAAGAAAAGTAGTTAAGAAAATTAAAACAAAATTTTCTCAAATTCTACCAATTTCAAGGCTCCAATTCCATACGACCAAATACGACCTTACATTTTTTTTTTTCTTTTTTTTCTTATTTAAGTAGCAAACACCCTCGATCTATCAAAAGTTGCAAATTAACCTTCTTTGGCAGTCAAAAGTAGAAATTTTGCTTTTAAAATAGTCATGTGTGACATGGACCGATTGATTTGAAGAAAATAGACTAACGCGTGCATATTTTACTTTTACAAATAAGAAGCTGAGGATGTTCGTTGCACGTACATAAGAATGTTCAATGTGTTTCTTGTATTGCATATTACTACTGTACCACTATTAGGATTTCAACTTACAGCTCTTAGATGAGGGTAATTTGCAATTTTTAGTAAATTGAGGGGTTTGATGCTAAAAAACAAAAATGAGGGTATTTTGTAATTTCTTGATAGTACATGGGAGTTTAGTGCTATTTGACCAAAACAAAAACAAAAAATTCCAAATGAAAGGGTATTTTGTAATTGTTTGATAGTACATAGGAGTTTAGTGTAATCTGACCAAAACAAAACATAAAATTTCATATGTATATATTTGCAAGGCAAGAATGATTAGAAATTAAATTAGTAGATGCAGAGAGTTGAAGTCTGGCATTTTAAAACTTCAAGACATTTGCAAATATAAAATTTCATATACATTTGTAATATTATTATATTATATATTTGAAAATTGAAATGACATCCTTTCAATATATTTTTGGGTTTTCCAAAAGAAATGATTAGAATATAGAAAATAATAAAATTGGGTTGATAAGTATAATGGAATTAAGTAGTTTTTCAAAATCAAAAGTAGATAAGATGTGGGTCTAGCTGCTTAATTAGATGGGGTATATTACAGATAGTCTATTTCTTAAAGGAGACAAAGAAAATATGAATGATAATGGAATCTGAAGTGTGACCCAGTGATGGATCCAAGGAATCCATCGTCAAGATAATATAAGCCATGAAAATTGAGGAAGAATGGGCCCCAAAGCTTGAAGGTGGAGATGGGGATGTCCAATGAAGACAAATTCTCCAGAGCCCAGAAGATCTTGGCCATAAATATATTTACCAAAATGAGTCCGGCTATCGAATTCTTTAATATTATTAGTATTTATGTCAGTCGGTTGAAGTTGTCTGATTTTTTAATTTTAAATTATTATAGTAGAGAAACTAATGTCATTAATTAGTGACTTGGTGCAGCGTTTAGCTCCCCGACGAGTGTATCCATATTTGAATACTCTTATCTTAATTTATCAAAGAAAAAAATAGAGATACTAATGTAATTTCATTTTGAAAATGAAGTACATTTACAAGAAAAAAGGAAGACAGATATCGCTTCCCTTTATTTATACATTAATAAGCAGTAGAAGTATTGAGATTTTAAATTAATTAATAATGCCATACTCTTGAATGTGTGTATATCTAACTTAGCATAAGGAAGGGTCTCCATTCAATGAACAATGGTATAACTTTTCCTTTTTAAAAAAGGAGGAAGAGATGCGAGCCTCGATACAGGTAAAAGTGCGTGAGTAAGTTGGACGAAAAAAGATATATATATCTATCTCAAACATCTTTACAATTTTTTTTTTTATTTTTTAAATAAAAATATTAGAGATTAGTTGTTTGTTATACGAGCATCACGACACTCGCTCATTCAATTAACCTATCTAGAGAAACAATTCTAATTGCACATAAAAGCGCTGCCCTGTGAGTGGTTGCTAAAATACGATAAAGGACGCCGTTTACACCTGCGATGATAAGGATGATGGTGACACAGATGTGAATGGGATATACATTACTAATTACTAAGGTCTAAAGATTAACCTACCTATCTCTATATAGGAGCTAAAGTCCATTATTGTTCATATCTGTGAGTATGAAACCAACCCACCTCTTCGGACAAATAGAAGTGGACAAGAGGTCACTTGTTCATATAATCCCCCTTTTATTGCAATTTTTGTAGGCTTCATATTTCCATACGTAAGCTCTACTTTCACCATAAGTGGAAAAAAACCACTCGAGATTATACCGACTTTCTTTTAAAGTTTAGATATATTACAAATGAGTACATCGTTTAACGATTGTTATTTGAACTTTTTTTGAATTCGTTCATCAGCTATCAAAAAGTAAATTGGAATGTGAAAAATTAGTGATGCCCTTATATTACAATAATATATTATGTTGTATTTTATAGAAGAGAATGACAAAATTGTCATCATAAAATTTGGTCGAATATGCTAGAAAGAAAATATTAAGAATATCGTTGAACACACACGACGAAATTTAGGAATGTTAAAGTAATAAATGCTAAATGATATACCTATACGTAATATGTTCAAAGTTTAAGAAAGATCGATGTAATTTATTCTTTTTAAAAAAAAAAAAAACTAACAAATCTATTATAATAAAAAATTACATAAATTCGACTGCGACTACAATCACTTTATAAGAAATAATATCAGAAGTTAAAATTTTCTTTAACTTATTACACTCGAGTATCAACACTCATTGAGGTGAATTTAGTCCGGGTAATTAATGACAAAAAGTGATGCAAACTTGCAAACAAAACCAATGTTCAAGATTCTAAAAACAAGAAAATTGTTGTTTTAATAGATTTATAAAAGTTAATTTTATTAATAAAAATAACTCATTTCATTCATGTTATATAAAAAATACTGTTCTCAGAAATGTAAACCAAGCAAACTTGTAAACAATTGGCTAAAAAACATTTGTAAATCCATAATCTATGGCGGCCAATATGAAATAAAAACTAAAACAATACTTTGGATTTGGTTTGCGATTTGACATATTTAAAATGTGATATAGCATGAACACATTCTTGTAATCTCTCATCAAATTTCACAAACCTATAAACAATTAGTTGAAAAACACTTAGCAAATCCATAATCGTATCCCCGCCAATGCAAAACAAAATCCAAAACAATACTTTGTGGGTACAACTTTGGATTTGGTTTGTAATATGAAATATTTAAAATGTGATGAATGGGATGAATATATTCTCTTGTATTCTCTTATCAAATAAACAAATCGCCACTTCAAAAAGCAACTTGAGCACTTTGAATGGATGGACTTGCTAGGCAGAGAGTGACACCAACTTGCACATAGTGGTGGATGGTGGATGAGGTTCATTTCATCATGGTGGTAACAATAATGACACACATTGTACCTATCTTTCATATTCCAAATGACCTAATTTGCATAATACCTTTTCTCTTTCTCACTCTTGTGAAAGTGCATGGTTACTATTCCAAATGTGATCTTTTTAATTAACATTTTCCACTCTTATGGAAAACGATAACAATCTCTATTGATTTTTATTACAAACTGATGAGTTAGTCTTTAAATTATACACTTCTAAAAGGGATAGACTCCATGTTATTGATTATTGTGTAAAAATTCTTATTGAGCACTGTTTACTGGAGTCGCTAAAAAGACGATTCTAATATTGTATTATCATTCGTATCTTATAGATGAGCACTGTTATTGTAATCGGCTCCAATTCAAGTCGTTGTTATTAGTGTCGGAATCAGTTATATATTGACTATCAACGGGAGAATCGACGTCCTCCTCTGTACAAACAATTACTGAAGTGGAAACCTTTTCGACACCCGACAAGTCAGGTATCTATCGTGGGTCCCTCGACTACGGGAGACACTCTAGAGTCGGGTGTCGTCAATTTTATTAATGGACTCCATTAATTGACCACTGCGCGCAACATGGGATTCCCTTAGATGGGCAATGCAGCTGTAAATTTGGGAAAAACAAAATGCATAGTCGTGTAGGGTTTTGGACCACACCAACTTCTCCAACAAGAACTCACCCATGAACCAATAATTGGTAGCATTTCTTTTTGCTAAACAACTCATAAATTTATAATTAATTGGTTCAACTTAAATAGAGACATGTAACCAATTTTTATTGAAAAATGAAACCCCCAAAGTTAATTGGTGCAAAAAGCTAAAGATTTTGATCAACAACTGAAGATGCCTAAATAGTATTTTTGGACTTTGTTTGGAAAAATATAGTAATATTGACAAGAAAAAGGAGAAAACTGTTAGAGTATCATTCCACTAATCCCAAGATGTAGGCTATAGGGTTAGCATTAGCTGTAAGCTGGCTAATATCTTAAGAATTATTCAGATTAATTGATTTTGGAAGAAGACATGAAATAGCCTAGTGAATGGGGACAGCATTAGCTGTATGTAAGAGGATGGCTAAGTCAGTCCTCAGGACCCATTTGGATTTGGATTGAGAGAGTTGGAAGGCATTAGGTAATAATCCCAAGATGGGGATTAAATTAGTGGGGCAATGGTAGTTGTAACAAGACTAATCTGTTCTTTCTTAGTCGGTGTTTGATAATATCAATAATTGTAACATTGTCGTTAATTTTTTGACATGTTGAGATTAAGGAAGTCGGAAGGAAAATAAATAAAAGTAAAGAAAATGAATTTTCTTTATCCAAGTAAAGAGGTCATTTAGCAAACAATAAGCTTGAACAACCGGCTCAGCTCATTAAGGATTGAGAATAGTCTTTTGTTAGAGTTTGTTTGAATTTACAATCCTGACCTTGAGTTTAAGCACAAAATTGACTAAAAAAGAAACAAGTTGAGATTGAATGCAATAGGGATTGTTTGAATCGAGAATGATCTAATACCAATATTTGAAGTTAACCTCGAACTTCAGATCAAGTTTTATCAGAGACCTCAAACTCAAACGGGCTAAACTCAAAAATAAATAAAATGAATTTGATTCGTTAGAATTGAAAATGAGTTAATCTTTTCATGACATCTCGAATTCTTCTCAAAGTAAAGAGCTCTTTTAACAAACAATGAGCTTGAACAATTAGATAGCTCAACTCATTAATTATTGAAAACACTCTTTTGTTAGTAATTGTTTGCTTATATTTACAATTTTAAGCTTGAGATTAAGTACAAAATTGACTAAACGAGTCAAACAAGTTGTTATCGAATGCAATAAGGAATCTCTAAATCAATAATGATGACCATAAGCTCTAACTTCAAATAGAGTTTGATTAGTGACATCAAATTCGGACAGATGTTAATGCATAAATATTCACCTACATCAGTTCTTTGAAATTTAATATTTTCCTTTATATATTATTTGAAATTGAAATAAAATAATTTTGAAATATATCTTTTCAATATTAGTCTGGGACACAAGAAGTTGTTTGAAATCCATTCCACGTCAAACAAATTCCAGGATACCCAATGGCCCCAGATTGAATTCCGACACTAACCTCATGCATCATCATATCCTAACAGCTGTATCAACCAATCATCCAAAACTACGCTTCACCAACCTTACTATCTCAATGGTCCCCAAATAAAACACACACACATATATATAATTATATATATTCAATCTCATAATTCCATCATTATAATCATGTTATATTCACGACCAATGTTCTTGTGCATTAACAAAGCATACTACCATCACACAAATATAACACATGTTTGCCTACATACCATGTACATACGTACGTATATACATACATATATATATATGTATATATAATACACCAATTACATGCTTATTATACCTTTGTTAAGTACTTAATCTATTAACCACTACTTTCCGCTGCATAGAATTTGTGCTCGAAATTAGGCACCAATTCTATTCAACCAAAATTACGGTAAACTGCAGAACAAACTCTCAAAATTATGCATAAAACCTAGTAAAATGCCCTTTTTTCAGATACCTCTACCAAAGTGAGGTTGGATCATTTTAAATTCATGAATCAATTTACAATGTAAATGATCTATCCTGTTCCGAAAATTTTGTATTTATAACTTGAAATGTTTATAATACCCTTCTTTATTAATTTCATGAATCAATCTGTAATGTAAATAAATTATTCATATTTTGTATCTTACATGTTTATCAGATTTGGTGTCTATACATGCACACATATATATAAACACATATAATGCTCATTCTGATTTGGGTTTATCTATCTTCTTAGTTGGCATTCTTTAATTTAATTATCTTTTTCCTCATCTTATTTTAATATTCCTCACGTCCCAGTCCAATGAATGGAATGAAGCAGTCCATCTTTCTGAACTAAGCAACGTGCAAAATGAACTAACTTCATCAGATTTAAGTCTTAATTAATTTAATTTTTAACAAATCTGAAAGGGAAAAAAGAATATAATATATTTTAAAACTTTTGTATCTTATTAAAATATATCACAAAGCATCAAAGGGTAAAATTGGTAAGTTGACCCCTTAGATGGTTGACCCAAAATTTTGAACGCCCATTGCCAATCAGTAACCGGTAATCAGTAATTACTGTACTAATCACCCACTAAGAAACTAAGAAAAACAGCTCTAAAAAAAAACAATTGAATAAAAAAAGAAAAGAGAGTAGCCTCAACTCATTACAATATTTACACAAATGCCCCACTTCCAACATTCTTTTTCACTCTCTCGCCCCTACGGCCCTACTCTTGTATCGCACTCAACTTGGCCGTAAAGTTTCGTCTTCTCCCACCGCCTTTTCTCAACCCACCGTCCCCAACGCCGCCGCCGTCGGCCACCCTGCGCGACGGCTTGGCACCCTTCTCACCCCCGGACAACAACGCCGACGAAATATATTTCCGGCGACACCCGCATTTATCGCGGCCGCTCTTCATCAATGCGGAGCTGGCCTTGACGGCCAGCGCCGCCATTTCCTCCGACCGGAGCGGCTCCTTCAAGCGGCTCAACGGCAGGGCGAAATAGAGCTGACCCGGTTGGAGCTCCTCGTCGTCGCTTATCGCCGACACGACGTCGTCGAAGTCCATCTCGTCGGAATCGCAGATGAACGACGATGGGTTCTTCTGCAAAACGTACGAGACCTTCACTGGGTACGAGTATTCTTGTAATCGACCGTCTTGTAGGATCAGCTTCGCTGTGGCCACAGATGTGGATTCACAAGAGCTGCAAATACCCATCGCCGTTCCGATTGATTGACAGAGTTTGTATCGCCGAATCGGATCGGAGAATGGTACAGTTTGAACCGGCGAATCGGATCGGAAAATAATGTCGTCGTTGTCGTCTTCGGCGACCGGATAATATGTTGTATTGTGTGTGGAGATATGAAAGAGGGGGAGAGAATGGGGTATTTATAGAGGAGAGAGGTCGCTTTCTTCTCACTATAAAAAAAATAAATAAAAAATAATAATAAAATAAACTTTTTTGTGTGAATTATTTTTATTTTTAAATAATGTTTCTTTTCAACTGTATATGATACGAACTGATTACTTTTTTTAAAAAAAAAATTAGTGTAATTTATTAAGTAACTTTTATATAGTTGAGAACTTTAAAAGATAAAGTTAATGGTGAATCTTGACACCCAAAAATAAACTACATAACACTCTATTTCTTAAATCTAAATAGTGGAGTGTAAATATATTTTGTTTCCTTCTTTGAAAGTGTTGATATCATCGTCCCAATACTTTTTATTAATTAATTCATATAATAGTAAAAAAAAAAATAAAAAAAACCTTCCTTAAACTCACAAATTGAATTACTTACTATAATGGTAAAAGTTTTTTTTATTTTTTTTATTTTCTTGTTTGGCAAGAAATTCACAAACCCAAAATTTCTTTTCCTGTTTTTTTTTTCCTAGTCAAGACTAAAATAATAATAATTAGAACATGAAATTGTGTGGAGGTTAATCTATTCAAATTGAAATTGAAATTGAAATTGAAATTTTTTCACTTTTTCTCCTAACAGAAAAAGACAGAATCAGTAATAGTTAATTCTAATTTTACTTTTAAAAAGTATTTAAAATTCAATAAACAATTGAAAGAAATATTATAGGTAGAATTGAATTAATTACAAACCACTCTAATTTATAATTACTCTCTAAATCTATATCCCTTTTTTTCTAAATAAATTTATTCGCTTGCAAATAATTTGAACATAGACATACTATGTTTGAAATTTTGAATAAATGACGCATTATAATTTTTTTTCAAAAGTAAAGTATAGAAAGTACTATTTTTGATAAAATTATACTTACTCCATTTTTTTTTTGTTTTTTTATATATATTTTTTTCAAAAGTAAAGTATAGAAAGTACTATTTTTGGTAAAATTATAGTTACTCGATTTGTTTTTTTGTTTTGTTGGAACAGTAAAAATGTAGATGGAAAATAATTATTGATATTGGCGGGTGATGTGGGTAAAGTTTTGGCATCGTGAATTGTACCAGATTGCCACGTCAGATTGGGGGAATTAAAACTAGGGTTTTGTTGTGATCAGAGAGAGCAGGTGTTGCCAACCTGTAAACTACTGGTTGAAAGAAAAAAAAAAAAAAAAAAAAAAAAAAAAAACCTGTAAACTCGTGGATGACAGGTTGTAATTCGCGGGTACAGTGTGTCCCTTCAACACTGACCCACGTTTCACGATGAATTTACGGAGACAGGGACTCTACTCGGGCTTGGGAACTGTGATTAATCACTTCTCCATGACGTCATCATCACTCCCCCCAAAAGTTAATAGACTTGTGATGAAATGGGAAACCTTTGTGTGTATGCGCTCAGATCATTCTTTCTTGTGCGTACATATAGCTGGATTATTTACTGTAACAGCGCTGTACAATAATGTTAGGGAGTTTGACAGTTAAATAAATTTAAAAGATAGAATAAAATAGGATGTTTGATAATTAATCTGAATATTGTGAAGGATGGGTGCTTCTAACGGACATAATGTTCGTTATGGGCCAGCGCTCTCAACTCTTTATATTTCTTTCGAATTTGTCCAACTATTGAAATTCAAATCATTTTTCGATAGAGGGCAATTTTAATGGCCCACCACTGAGATGATGTTAGTTGTGGGGGCCACGCCCTTCACTCCTTGTGCTCCTTTCGAATCTTTCTAATTACGTATTTGCTCAACTATCGAAATTTAAATCATATTTCAATAAAGGAAGATTTTAGTGACTCCACTACTTATGTAATATCAGTTGTTGGACTCACGCCCTTCCACTCACCGTCATTTTTGAGTCAGACCAACTATGAATTTATCAAATTATCAAAATTGAAATATTATTTAGTACACAACGATTTTAATAATTCACTATTTCACACATGTGAATGATCATATGAGTCTCTTAGTTACAATGATGAAATCATTTTTTTTTTAATTACTTTGTTTTATTGATTTATTTACCTTATAACAATTCATACACCCACTTAATCTCATGAATATCTACACTTTTGTCCTTTTATAAAATCTCTAAACTTTTGATCTTTTATAAAATATCTACTAATAATGGTTGGTGGGACTCAAAATTGAATTGGTGAGAAAATTTTATAAAATTTACTTCAAAAGGGGCCCAAAGGTGATAGGGATTCACGTGAAGGGAGGTCAAAATGACGTGGTTATTAGTGCGATACACCTAACAGCCATTTTTTTTTTCTTGAACAGTGCATTTTTCTTTTATGGCAAACTCTATCCAAAGGTTAATAGTGATGTTGTCACAATCCTTATTGTGATGTTGGATGATTTTATATTGTAAATTTGTACCGTATATATAATTATATATATACGTAATCGTGAATATTTGGTTTACAATTTTTTATTTATTTAAACAAAGTGTTAATAAGTGATGTGGCCACAATCGTGATTGTGATATTCGAAGATTTTATATGGTGGTGTAATTATGGTGATGTCTAAATATGTTTTTTTTTTTAGTAATTACTTATTTTTACTCTTTAATTATATCTGATTATTATCGGATGAAGTTTTTTATTTACCGACAAACAAAAGATCATCTTCCTCGTAGGGTGAATGGAAAAATTTATCTACACTAAATATGATAAGAGTTAAATATAATTGAAAAAAAAATGTGAACAAAAAATTTATCCACACCAAACATACACCATTACAATTGGATATAGTTACTATATATATTTTTATAATTTACTTATTTACACCAAATCCATGTCTAAGTGTTACCATCATGAGACAAAAGTAGCAAATAGAAAATACGAAATTACTACTTAATGGGAAGATTTTAACTGATTTAGTTTTTTATTTATCCGTAAATAAAAGATCATCTTTCTCATGGGGTGAATATAAAATTTATCCCCGCCAAGTATGGTAACAGTTGAATATGATTGAACAAAATATCATGTTTCTCATTATGAGTAAAAAATTTATCCACAGCCAAACATAGTAACAGTTAGATATATATAGTTGCTATATATTTTTTATAATTAACTTTTCTTATCCCTAATCCATGTCTAAGTGTTACCTTGATTGAGAATTTGAGACAAAAGTAGAAAATAGAAGAGACTAAATTACTGAATAGGAAGATTTTATATGTTGGTGTAATTATGGTGACGGTTAAATATGTTTTTTTACTAATTACGGTTTTTACACTTTAATCATATCTAGCTATTATCGTATTCGAATGAAAATTTTTATTTACCGATAAACAAAAAATCATCTTCCTCATAGGGTGAACGAAAAATTTATCAAAATGGGGCATGGTAACAATCGGATATAATTGAACAAAAGATTTGTTGGATATAATTGAAAAAAAGATCATGTTTTTCGGCGGCAATAAAAAATTTATTCACATCAAACATGATAATAATCGATATAGTTACTATCTTTCTTCTCTATCCCAACTTCAAAAATTTTGATTCATAATTTTTGTATATCAAAGTTAGTGAAATAGACATTTAATATGGAATATAAATAGTATATATAATTATATAAAAAAAATATGACTAAAAATGACTCAAAAATAAAAAATAATAGTGAGTCAAAATTTTTAAAATGAACAATTAATATGAGACAGATGTAATATATATTTTTTATAATTAACTTTTCTTATCCGTAATTACCATGATTGAGACAAAAGTAGCAAATAGACAAAAGAGCAAATTACTGAATAGGAAGGGCACATAATTTTTGTCAAGAGTGAACTATATTGCTAAAAATACCTACTCCTATTTTTAAGATGAATACGCGACATTTATGTGTGTGTGAGTCCAAGTGGTAACAACTCTAATAACTATACCATGACGCACATATATAAAAAATATTTTGTACGCATATATATATATATGTGTGTGTGTGTGTACACACACATATAATGGTTGCACTATCAATAAGAGAGATAAGAGGAGTGATAAATGGTATTGTTGCAATTACTAAGAAATCGAAGGGTATACAATATTGTTTTTCCCCAAAAGGGAAAGAGAAAAAGTGTATGACGGAGTAGAGTATGAAGCAAGGGAGATGGACACGTGGCACTCAAACAGAGCCCCCACAGTGCTTCTATGCAAGACATGTAGAGTGCCACGTGGAAGAATAGCAGCCATTGATAATTGGGGTAAAGCAAAACCCAACAACCAGACCATTGCTTACGCAATACTAATAAGGGTTTGTTTGGGTTCTGATACAATATATATAATATTATTTAAATGATTAAAGGCATTTTTGTGATAAAAATGGAGATGATTTGGAGTTTTGTCACCTTTATCACGACAGACAATAATGTCATGTTTGTTAGTGGGAAAAGAATAAAGTGATGGTGGTAGGAAGGAAAGGGAAGGAAGGAGAGAGGGAAGCTGGGGAAGGTGTGCTCTATGTTTTGTTTGGATATAGACAGAATTGTTGAGGGAAGGTGAAAAGGGAAAGAGACTTCCCTTGAACCCTCCAAAAATTCAGTTTGAAAATATGATGATAAATTAGACTAATCCCTTTTTCAGATTTTATCTTTTATTTAAAAAATTAATTTAATTGATCTCGACCTAATTTTAAAATAATATTTTTCAACAACGATAGTTGCTAACATCATCAATTTGTTATTTCGGTTGCTAATTTTGTTGTAAAGACAATATAGTTCTCTAAAAGTCGTAAAAAAATTCATTCAAAATTGAATAAAAAAATAAAATTGCATTATCCATTACATAAGAAGGTGTAATTTTTCCAAACAAAAGGGAAGTTTAGTGTAGTTTATTTAAAATTTCATGGTCAATTGGATTAAGACAACATGAGAAAAATAATGTTTTTTTTTTTTTTTTTTTTTTTCATGTTTCCGAGAAATCAAAACTAGAAAAT